ACCTATAAACACAGCTGAATTTATGAAACTATAACTGAAATATCCAAAATAGTTCCATAATCAAACTAAATCTGAACTAATGGCTCAAAAACTTGAATGATCATAATTGTGTGTACAGTACCCAGTTTTTGAGTATACTCAGTAACAGGAATTGTATGAACTGTTCACATCTTCAGACGCTCAAAAAGTCAGATATAACTTTTATTGGGAAAGTAGAGCTCCTATGCGGTTTTTGATGGTTTTAAACGCATTGGAAAAGTCAACAAGTTCGAAAAGTGGGTGTCCCATGATTTGAACGATTGACAGAAATTGACACGTTCTGAATTATGTTCTTCTTTGCTTTTCCATACCCAAAACGATATTTTTTGGATCGGATCTTCACGTCTGATGAAAAGTGGATTGTCTACGACAAGTAAGACGTTCAAGAGAGTGGTTGGATACCGATGAACTACTCAGGCGCTTCCTAAAGAGGAAAACCTAGCGCAAAAGTTAATGTATAATGAGATTCACCATAACTTTCTGCAACCGGGCCAAACCAATATAGCAGAGACCTATTGTGAGAAAATTAACGAAATGTACCAAAAATTGCGTCAGCAGTAGAAGAGGTCCTGTTCTGCTCCACCACAACAACCGTCCGCACGTTTCATAAATCACTCTCCGAAAAGTAAACGAATTGAGCGTCGAAGTCCTGCGTCACCCACCATTCTCCCCAGGCCTCTCGCCAATCGACAATCATCTTTTCAAGCACTTCGATAACATTTTCACCGGTAGAATCTCCGCCAATCAAGACCAAGCAAAAACTACCTTCGTCGAATCGAATCCCGAGCACACACTTTCTATGCTGACGGAATTAATCGACTTGTGGTACGTTGGCAAAAGTCCTCTGATTCAAATGGCGCTTATATCGTTCAAATTGAATAAGTATTCAATGAGTAATTATAGTTCAAAGTAGACTCATAAAAACGGACAAAATTATTCAAAAAACCTCAATATAACGGCTTGAATAAAGGAGCGTAACTTGAATAACACTTTGGAGATGATTTCTTGTTTTGTTGTTTGACATTTTTTATGTATTACATTGTCTTCAATAGTATATATTGTATAACAAGTGAGAAAAACCACATATTTCTCACAAGCGCAGAAGTCTCAAGCGAGTGGGAAATATGTCATTTTCACACGCATTGTGCACTATACTTTTTCTACGGTTGCGTTGTTTTCAAGTATTGAAAATTGAGATACATATATAATAATACTTGTATGTCATCAACTCATTTTTATATTTTATGTAAAATAGTAATTAACAGTTATATTTGAACAATTTCGTAAAGTAATTCCTGGTAGGTCGTTTTGTTTCAACTTGTTTTCGGTAATTGAAATATTAGCTGCGGTCGAAGTTGAACTTGATGGGGAAACATACTGAGCTTCCACAGCATCGTTGTGTTCAAGTTCTAATGGCGCTGGAGGCTGAATGGATTCCACTATACTTTTTGAAATTTTCATTTTGTTAGCTGTGGAGTTGTCGATATAAGATTCAGCAACATTGCTGGATTTCCAACACCCATGGCGTTTTAAAGTTGAAAGATCTGCCCCTGCATTAACTAAAATAGTCGCAGATGACCTTCGGAAACAGTGGCCAATATATAATTCGGGGTTCGGTAATTGCAAAAATTTCGCTATTTCTTTCGCCATGGTGCCAAATGTATTTATTCCCACAGGCTGTTTCGTACATTTGCTATTTTTGTAATTTAGGAAAAAAAAACGTGTTTCATTTGTGCATGGTCGAAGCTTTACATATTTTTTGTAAATTTGGTAGAAATCTCCTGTGACTGAATTTTCTAGGAACCTTGTATCGGGTAATTTTATTTAAAGGGCCGAATTAAGATCTTCCATGTCATTAATTTTCAATTTTCGAAGTTCATCACAACGGCATGTTTTTGCCTGTTTTGGAGCATATTTTTCAGATTTGCGTTTTAAAAATGCACGTAGTTTTACGTATTTTGATATTTCAACACAATTTTCAATAATTAAGGTACTCCTCAGCATCGAATACTGAGATCATATTGTTGATGATTTCAATCTTCTTGACAACTCTTCAAAATAAACTAACAAGGTATTTTCGGAACAAGAATTTACCTTGGCTTTCATTTTCCAGTCCATAAAGTTTCTGTCAGCGATTTCATATTTTTCTCTTGATGTACTTGGTAGCAAATTAATGCAAACATCTATTGCTTCCTGAACAATTTCTGGAGGTGTATTTTCCAACTCCAAATCTTCGTATTCCATTATATTCAATATTTATTAAATCTGAACTGTTTATACTATAACAACCAACAATAAAACTTCTTTCGTAGGGTAAGTTGACAGCAATAATTATGCAGTACTTCTGTTTTGTTGTTATGGAAACGCCGACAATGGGCTACTTGGATATTGCACGCGAATCGTCGGCATAGCCTTGTCAACATGAAGAACGTGTCATATCAATCCGATATGTAACAATTCATGACTGACTTGGGTTATCGTGATAACAGTGAGAAATTATTTCTCACTGTAACGCCGGATATTTCTCACTGCGTGAAAGAAATGGCACATTGTATAGCATCCGTAAAAAAAATCTCTTTTTGCTCTACTTTCGAGGCGTGGAAAAACACGTCCAGAAACGAGTTCACTTCAAATTTTCTGATATAAAAAAATGAGTATTTTCATTCTCTATTGGGACCGCATCTTTAAACGCCATCGAATAGATTTCGATGCGACTTGGCAGGGGGCATCGAGTCCACATTAATCATCTGGAAGCCCTTTGAAAGACACTTCGGAATGTATAATTGTAGTGTCTCAAATCCGTAAGGCAGCGACGTCGTGAGATTAATTTGACGCCGCAAAGAAGTTTCGGCGGGAAAAACTTCACCGCGGGAGAAATTAATGGTTTTAGTAAAGCCCTTCGATCGTTCGGATTGGAATAATTGATGGTAAATTCTGAAAATCAGTTCTGGGGCATCAATAAGAAAACTCTATTCATTCGTCATGAATATTTTCTGAAATTTGTTTATCATGTATCTGAATTGATTTCACATAGATCCATCCATAGACAATATCATTCTAACATTCATAATCAAACCTGAAATATCTATATAAAATATAGTGACCCGGTTTATTTCGAAATTTTTGTGGCAAAATAAACACCGGTTTGATGCCAAGGAGGTGGGGTTGATTAAAAAAAGTATCCATCCATTAATTTTTTTGCGTAAAATTTTCCAATCTCCTACTTTCTTCCATAATAGTCACCGTTTCATAGCATTGCATAATACCACGAATATATTATGCTAAAATCATTTTGTTTTGATTTGGTTGTTATCTACTCATTTGAATAACATTGTTTTCATTGTTGTCACAATTAACACTTAACTCAAAATATCCTACTTTTTTATTAATATCGATTTTTATAACTGTTCTATTACCAACTGGGACAAAATCAACGATGACACTGGAAATGGCTCAAAGAACAGGTCAATGGTCCATCTTTTCATCTAGAAGAATAGATAAGAACTAACTCACAAATATAGTTTTCCATCTCAATATTTTGGATGCCTTCATTTGAGTGGCAATACTAAATATTCAGGCACCTATAATTTCCCTAGTACCAACTCATAATTAGTTCTGAGTTATAATCATAACTCCAGGCTGATCCCTAAGCCACAAATCCAGACTGCCCATATCAAACTTGGGGTTTGAGGCGCAAACAAATCAATTGGATTCATGTGATGATTGTCAGACCAATGATCACTTATGGAGCAATTGGCTGGTGGCCGAAAACTTTACAGAAAACGGCTCAGGCGAAGCTCTCTGGCTTACAGACACAGCCTCATCTGTGGTGCCATCAGTACCAAACCGGCATCGCCATGAAGATCCTTCTTGATCACAGACTTATCTGTGGTGCCATCAGTACCAAACCGGCATCAACCATGAAGATCCTTCTTGATCTACGTCCTCTCCAAATTTTTTCGAAGAGAGAGATGGACTGCATATAGACTTGTACACATCTCCAATTACACAAATCAATTCAATGCAGAGTACACAACACTGGTGTTTGACAGTGGAAAAGTCACAGCATTCTGGAAATGACCACTGACTTTATGCCTCCAACTGTCAACTACGAACTATCTTATGCTGTATTTTCCCGAGGCTTGTATCCTCCGGAAGAAAGAGCAGATAATTGTTGGTTCACAGATGGATCAAAAACACCTTCCGGCTTTGGTGCAGGTGTTTCTAAGTGCAGTCCCAGGACAGAGATATGAACCTCCCTAGGGACCTATGGGAGTGTATTCCAAGCGGAAATTAATGCTATTTAATTGTGTGCGAAGACATTGGTAGAATCCAACCTTATTCACAAGTCAGTAAAATATTATCGGACTCTCCTCAATAGGAAGACTTAACAAATTATCTCTGGTCTCGATTCTTTGCCACACTGGCCTGGAAGGCAATGCGTCTGCTGACTTCCTTGCAAACGTGGGTGCTGCAAGAAGCTTCATCGGACCAGAACTTGTCGTTGGCATCGCTTCAGGTTCTGCCAAACAAAGATTGAACACCTGGATGGTAAGAAGATTTAAGGACTTCTGGCAAATTCTTCCAGGATTGTCCCACAACAAAGCATTCATTCACCCTTTGAAGCTTGATACCAAACAGTTGTTGGACTACAGTAGGGATGAACTACGATGTCTAACCGGCCTCCTCACAGGTCACTATCGTCTGAATCATCGTATGCAGAGACTGGGACTGTCGGGAGACAGTGTGTGTCGCCTCTGTATAGAAAATGATGAATCAGCAGAGCATATACTTTCTTTCCATAATTTAACTCTACATAATGTAATACAGTTAATGTAGCAACTCATACCAAATGGTATGTTGAAGTGAATTCTTATAAATAATTAATTGATTGCGTTTTATCTATTGAGATATTGCCACTATAATATGTTAGACGACTAATCTCAGCTTTTTTGTTACAGAGAGCTTCCCAATGCTGATTATTATTATTGGAGTGGTTGGAGCTATAATTGTCCTGATTATTGTTATAATTATTGTGTTCCTATGCCAGAGACAGAACAATAAGAAACCTCATCCGGAAAGTAAGTGCTTCATTGATAAAGAAGTGGATGATTTTCAAAATATTTTTCCTTCCTACGACAGTTTTTATAAGATACAGAGAGAGAAAAATTATTTTCCAAATTGATCATAGAGTTTGTAGGAAAGTATGCAATGCAAAAAAATAATGGTAATAATAACAATATAAAGATATACATTCACTTTTGTGTTAGTAACTCAAAAGTTGAAAAATAAATACCTACAAAACAGAGATACCTGTTTTCAAAGGTTGAAATTGCAAACTTATTTGAGTATTAAGTTCAGAAATTCACTGAATCAGTAGTGATTTTTTCATCGGTCGTTTGAATTTCTGAAAATGCATATTTTTCAATAAATTGATGGATGTAGCCATTACTACGTGGTAGGAAATCATAATGAAGAAAAGAGAAATGAAACTTTCTATGTTTTTTACCACTATGACAGCTCTTCGTTACATTCGCGAAGTAGTGGAGCCTCAAGTCCTTCCATACCTTGAGACCATTGAGAACCCCATATTTCAACAAAACAACTCTAGATCGCATGTGTCTAGAGTAACTCTAGACTTCATGGATCAGCAGGACATTAACCACTTACCACGGCTTCCCAGATCGTCCGATCTTACACCGATCGAACATGTGTGGGATATTCTTGGTCGCAAACTGCTGAATTTACAACGGTCCCCACAAACTTAAGCAGCACTCAGACAAGAGTAAGAAGTAGAGTGGAATAAGATACCCCAACAGGATATAGATCATCTTATCAGCACAATGCCTAGACGTATTCACGAGTGTATAAGACATCGAACATCTGCAACACAGTACTGAACTTCACTGGTTTCACGATCATCCAATTTCTCTGAAAACTCACTCGTTCGTTTGCTATTATCTATCAAGTATGTAGGTAAAAAATCATTAAAATATTTTCAATACAAATGGGTGTTTACCTTTCTTTGTCACTTATTACACATTTTCGCGTTACCATTTACAAGAAAATATGTTGAATGATGAGGAAGAATTGTATTATAGTTGCACTGTCGAGTCAAAAATGATATGATATTGATTCAGTATAATCCATCGATTATACCTATAATAACAAATTTCAAAAAATAATGGAAACTTGTTTTTTTCCAGCAGATATAAACACGATGGAAAAGCAGTGTAAAGAATCAGATCGCAGTTCGAACATTTCAGACCTGAAATTGGATTTGAGGACAGGTTCTTCCAATAGTAATGTACATTGTGATATGGACTACATTCCCGGAGCTGAATCGGAAACCGGAAGCGAGTCGGTAATAACGAGAATAGGGGTGCCTTTGGCGGGACCGGTCAACGTTTCGGGTCAGGAAATTTACAGATATTCAGCCGACTATACGGAGCCCAGTTTTCCACCCAAGGTATGGAAATTTAGTATATTATACACAGTGTGTGAAAGCCAAATGGTTCGGTTACTGTACATATTTAAAAAAAACCTGAAACACGTCAAATGTTTCAACCCCCTTCGAACGACAGGTACAACCCCCAAATTTTAAATGAGAAGTATAGGTTTCAAGTTTATTGCAACGAATAAAATAAATTAAAATCACGTGGTTACCGAAATTCCATAAAATACACTTAAAAACTAAAATGTAATGCAAAACGTAATGAAATGCACTATACGAAAAAAAACTATGGATGTTAACGAAGTTGATGCTCACCAAAATAAGTTCTTTTTATCAAAATTGTCTTCCATGAGCTCCTGAGTAGGTATCATTTTATAGGGGTGCATTTTATTTTCTCTTAATGTGTTCAGTATCGATGTATGGCTAACATTAAATGTAGTGGATGCCTGTCTACTCGATGTATGTGGGTTTTCCTCAAACTCCAGCAACACATCTGATTTGAGTTCACCACTCATTGCATTGTCAGCTGCTTTTTATATCTGCCCCACATGACCAAGCTCGCGAAACTGCTTCTCTATTTTGCTTCTTGTTCTATGAGATATGGTCGGTAAATTATTTCTCATAAAATAGGCGAGCTCCTTCCTGTTGTGTTCGGGTTTTATCTCCGTAACCAATCAAGTGTAAAACTGTTATTTTATGCATTTCCGTCAATCTAGCCATTTGTCAGACTTGAAGTTAACGGACTTTGAACTTGAATTAAAATACTGGCAACTGATGTTGTAACATGCAAAACAAGTTGACAAGGCGTTTTAAACTAATGTTGTCACGGAAATTATGTACAGTTTTTACCATCTAAAAAGAACATTGCTATGGTTTTTGCTTACTTACCTCAATACCTCAACATGAAATAAGTTCTGAGTATATTGCAATAAGTTTTGAGTGTATTTTATCGAATTTTGGTAACCACATGATTTTAATTCATTTTATCCTAATTGTTACAATAAACTGAGCCCTGCGGCACACCAAGATCAATATCTCTTGTTCCCGAATCATGGCTGTTAATGGTAACATATTCTTTTCTAAATCTCAAATAGTTCGATATCCAATCCAGTGACAAACCTCTGATACCATTTTTTTCTGTTGCAGGACGGACAAAACAACAACGGTTACGTTCCTTACGTGGACTACTCCCGAGACTACAACCCACCAATGATGCAACCGCCGATTTCCTCTTCTCTGGACCCGACCAGAGAAAGTCTCCAATCCACGCGTCTCCAACTCAACTCCCTCCAAGCTCACCAGATACCCGTGTCGGGCTCTGGTCTACCGCTGAACGATCTCTCCGATCTCCACGTCTCCCATCAGTCCATGCCGAATGGAGGTCTTCCGTCGATCGATCCCCGCTTCAGCGCCGCCTACGGTAATCCTTACCTCAGGAACCCGAACGTGGGACTACCGACGCCGAACACGGCAAATCCTGCCGCGACACCGGCTCCTCCGCCATATTCGAGGGAGAATTCCCGGCTTGTCAGCTCTAGCGGAATGATAACGGCCAGTGCGAACGTTATTAACACTGTAGTGGCCAATGGGGCGAACGGATCCATTCCGCAGGTGACGCGATTACCGAACTCCCCTACGAGTCAGTATATAGTGCCCAATTCGAATATGGCGACTATAAAAAGGGGTACCATGGCGACGCATGTATAATGTTTCAGTGCAGTTAGGTAGAAAACTAATGCTAGTGGTAGGGAAAACGTTAGGAATGGGTTTTGCTTCGATAATAAGAAGTAACGTGTTCGATGATGAGATTCAGATGCAGAAATTATGATCCGTTTGACGAATGAACCATAATTTACATAGAAGACATGTAAGATCGCATCTTTAATTGAATTTGGGTACTCGTTTCATCAAAAAGGTTATACAATGTATCTTGAAGAATGAAAATAACAATAGCTCAGGTTGTGTTACCTTTATATTTGATCCAAATGGTCTCCAGAAAAATCAGAATAATGTGAAACACATATTGAGTGAATGAGGTGGTTTTTGATCTCTTTCATCAAAGATAATTTTCAGAAGTAGAATATTCATTTATTTCAATTGAAAACACCTGAATCGATAGAGTTTAAGAGTGAGTCCAGTGAGTATTGGGACGGAAAAATCAAGAAAACCGGAAAATGTGATAGAGCAAAAATAAATGGTAGACTGCCTGACAGTCGTACCAAATGTGTAATAACCTTATATTGTGTTTATGTTTTAACGGGTTTGAAAAGTCAGCTAAGCAGTTAGTTCACAGTATTTCAATTCTTGGTACCCACAACCGTCTCTCACTTATAATTCACTCGTTCTGGCGATGCAAGATCATAGACAGGGTTGTTTTGGACCACTCGATGCTGTATTGGTTTCTTCAGTTGACGCGGATCTCGAAGATAGATATGAAGCAGGTTCTAATCTTGAAGTCACATTTGATTCATCAGAACTTCTTCGATAGTCAAGTACTGGTTGTGACAGATTTTTGTTTTTGCACATTCTTTGAAGTTTTCTGATCAATGTTTGTTGTTAACGTGAGCACTGGTGGCTTATTGATATCCCTCAACCAGACAAGAATACGGTCAACGGCTCAGGAGCAGCAGTGCAGCAGAGCAGCAGTCAAAGCGTAAGCGCATTTGCGCCTCGGCGCAAATTGGTTTTTGTTTTTTCTGTGGCTGTTTCTGGGTTTGTTTCATTCATGTGTGTTCCCACGAGTAACAGAGGAAGGGTTGGTCACTCTGGCAGAGCCCCGCATCACCTGAAGATGGCTGATTTCAATGAAGTTTCGCCCGGTTCCCCAAGGGGATCGTTCGTAATCGCAGGTCTCCCAGCGGCCATTCAGCTGTCGACACGGTTCCTTACACCTTAGCTTAGGTTGGTCCACGGTGGCATGTTTCGCAAAAGATTTTGGGGAGTTTTGGTTCCCCTCATCCTACGTATTTCTGCCACTGACCAGGAGTCTGGCGACCTTGTCCGTAAGGCCACATTGGCTTCCCAGACAGGGCTCCCAGTCCCCTGGCCGTTTCACTATCCGCCACCTGGAGACGCGCCCGATAGGTAGCCCAACCCACGGGGTTTAAAAAGGTTATATTGGGAACTAACTGATATCTTGACAGAGGACAGTCATTTCCTGATCTACTCGTTTTCTCAATCATAATGGTGTCAAACCTGTCACAGGCAGTGAATATGGCCTAAGCTCCTGAAGCCATTGACCACCTTCCTAGACTTGTTTAGTTGGGTGTTTCTTGTGTATACGTGGCCTACTGCTCTTTCTGATTTCAATAAGCAGCAGTGCTCACGTTAACATTTGTTCCAGCAGCTTCTTTCAGTATCAAGTTTCCCGGATACCCCTCGAAATGTTCCCTATCCGTTTATAAAAAATCATCAGCTCATATCTGTTGGTAGCCGTTCAATTGGTGAAAATGAAATAACTTTTTTTATGAATGCAGGTTCGATCTTTGCTTTTGAATTCAATGGGTGACGTTGCACAAAAATTCTGCCAGACTATATGGAAAATAATGTTCAATAGATTTCAAAACAGAAACAGATTTGTGTCTAAACCGAAAATACCTGTTTAACCTTTTTTATAAAAAAAACGGAATAATCATCGACAGTTACTATGTGATTCTCGAACCAAGTGGAGAATGATATAGTTTTTCAAAGCAAAAATATAGAACGTTATTCCCTCACCATCATCTAATTGTATTGAACCGTGATACCGTTTGAAGTGATGTTAATAAGTGAATTTATGACGAGAAGACTGAATAATAATATAAAACGAATTTTTTCTAGAAATATGAAATTGTTCACATTTGGTAGAGCCGAAAACGAACAGAGTCCTAATGTAAATTTTTATACTAGACAATTAAATTAATTGACCGAATTGTTGATTAAAAATTAATCAGATTGTACTGGTTTTGTACTGAACAGTTGCATATTTTTAAAAAAATTGCTCCAAACTGTTTTGAAGTTTCGAAAATTTCATCTTTACCTTCTTATCTCTGTTGGTATTGAAACCCCAAAGTTTTATTTTCAAAAATGTTATCAATTTCATTACGTTCAATTCCCAAATGTGCCATGTGAATAACTAGATTATGTGAAGGTGTGAAAATATGCATCTGTTGCTGATAATAATAGTGTACATATCCATATCCTTATAGTCGGTAGTCCCTCGAACCGACTCCATGTAAAACGTCAATTCCTATTCAAAATTCCATTCAATCATGTCTACACTTCTAGAAAAGCATGTGTAATTTCTCATCGTTAGTTAAAAAATATAATTTCACGTCTACGAGCTTCCACGTTAATGATGAAATGTTTTGAGTTGTGTATTTGCCAATGGTGTCACTTTGTGTTGAATTGTTTGAAATATTCTTCTTCACACTGAATGATTATCATGAGACATTTTCGAGAACAATCAACTTATAACATTGTTTTGTGTAAATTGTTAATCTTAAAAATGAATGTTCTTGTTATAAATTTAAAGTATATACCAAAGATATTTTTTGTATAGTAAAACTAATGAAAAATGTATATTTTTAAAATAATTTCAATTCAACGATGCTACATCATGAAAAATTGGCCTACACTGCAATGAATTTCCTGTTTATTATTATGTTGAGTGCGGTTCCATATTTTTGTACTTAGAGGCAATGCTACATTGCTTCAAACGTTGCTCAGACTAGTTAGTTCTTTGTAATTATTTGTATACTTGTATATTATATTTTTTCTGTATATTCAATCTTTTTGTATAAATAAACGATTACACAATAACTCAACATCGATTATTTCCAGTATACCTTGTATTTTTGTTATATATAAAGGATTATTTTGTTTTAACGAAAAAATTGTAGTTCGTATCAATTGATGTTTTTGTTATACACAATATAAAAAATAATTATTTAGCTCAAACTTGTAAATATGAATATATCTTGCGAAATCGTTTTCTATACTATTAGAAGATACTGTTACTATTGTGTATAATTTTTTTTAAGTCTTGACGAATAGCAATATTTATAAAACTTTGTGATTGTAAAATAAATATGCCTACTTAAGTTGTGTTTTGCTTTTCAAAGACCTGCCACCTTTCGCATTCATTGTGAGAAAAACAATTTACATTTTTATTCCGGTTACACCCAGCGATTTTATTATTTTTTTATCTGATCAATACCGTAGATTGCTGAGGGGCGTGGTGTGATAACTGCTACCTAGGACCTTCCAAATATTTTTTTAGCTTTCAGTACATTATCTTCATCATTATTTTTTTTAATGAAACCGTTAATACTTTATTTGGTGGAAAGAGGCTAGAGTTTGGTCGATATTCAAGAATGGCGATAAAGATAAAATCGAAAACTATAAAAGTATTTCATTGCTCTGTAACTTTGCAAAAGTTTTTGAAATCATTTTGTATAATCGTATATATTCCTGTATCCGAAATATGATATCTCAAAAGCAGCATGGATTTGTCAATAATCGCTCAACAGTGTCAAATCTGATATTTATCACTCAATATATCGCACAGGTGCTAGATGACCATAGTCAAGTAGATGTCATCTATACAGATTTTGCAAAAGCATATGGTTGAAGAGCAAAACTTTGCCACAAAATAAATCATTGTTGCTAAGGAAAGAAATACGTTAACGCCTCCGTGTTTGCCAATCAATATTGATTTTGAAACTTTTGAGAACTTGGTGTACAGCGTGTCCCAAATTTCAGAGTTCAGTCAATAACTTAGATATTAGAAGTGGAAAAATATTACTGAAAAAACTATTTGACGATTTCATTGTGCGCAAATAATAACTGAACGTGATCCTGGTGCTATTGTACTTTCAATGGGACTGCTCTTCAATTATTGGAAGAATCTTTATGTTATGAAATGCCGGTTTATAAACTGGTCACTCGGTATATTCTACTGGAACTCCACACCCAATCTATCATTATTTGCTTCTATTCAACAATTTTTATCAACACAGCTCACTGACATGTGTATTATAGTATTACTACACCCCGCAAACAGTTAGGATCGGTGTAATATATAGGCGCGGTTGGATAATCTATTCTTGTAGTTTCTATAAAGGACAGCCTTGATTTATACATCTAAAATGAACACTAACCAGTGTACCTCATGCTTGACTGAATCCCATTTCATCAGCTCAAATTTAAAACAGGTAATTGCAAAAAAGAGATATTCTCAAATTACTCAAAAAACAAATTTCACATTTGCGCATCAAAATTGAAGAAGTAATTTTTGATTTTCCTCAATATCAAATACGATTATCGTATCAGACAAGAAGTAAATTTCACGTAACTCAAATCAATCCTCAAATGAAAAAATCTGAAGAAGGGAATAACAACAACTGTAGCGGTTCATGTTCAGAAGTAGTTAGCATTCACATAACCTTGCCAGTTGCGAAGTAATTGGAATCAACAGAAAAATGTAAATGAAACGATCCGTTCTGATGATCAATTGAAATTACTACCAGTTGATAGGTAGGTTAGGTTAGGTTAGGTCCATTCGACCCTCCATCAAAACCCGCAAGGGTTTATTGTGGCTCACACCTATTCACACTCGACCAAATAAGCCCAGCTTCTTAACGAAGCCGATTAGTTTGAATGGTGAGTGGTCTTTCAGATCAGATGGTGAAAGTACGGCTCTGCCGAACTCCAAAAACCTGTTTGAAGGTGGTTGACAATGTTTGTGGTGTATTTCATCAGTTCGGACTTCCATTGTCTAATATAATATAAATTGATTTGAAATATATTAGACAATGGGAGTCCGACCTAGTGAAATTTTATTTAATATTTATTAGAGTATGTTTCAAAAGCAATAGTGTTCAAGTATATCCTCACATAATTAAGAGATCTCATATTTTTCGAAGAGATTCTAATTCTTGTGGTGATCCAAGGTTTTCTATTATCAATTTTCATTTTCTGAAATGGGATGCATTCGTTCGTGAAAACTTTCTCCCAGTCAAAATTGGACAGGTAAATAGTAAGAAATATTATCAGTACATTAATCGTTTGCATTGAGAAACAAATCGTTAAACATTTCTTTATTTTTAAACCCCAGGTAACATTGGAATATAAAAATACAACAATAAATAAAATCGATAGCGTGCGAGCATTTATGCTAACAAACTGAACTTACAAATATACGATTGTTTTTCACGTGTGGTTATATTATGATACATACAATAAATTCATTTTCAATCTGAATGTTTATATCAATAATTTTTTTCGAATTAAAATATCTCTTTATAATATCTGGTATTTATGTATAAAATTTATTCACATCATAATACATTCAAGAAGTTACATAGAGATTGGAGGGAGTATGAGGTTAGGGCCCCAATTAAAAGATGATTTTCAAGTGATACAAAACATTTCCAATTTTGTTTTGGGGCACACATGATAGTTAAGTTAACCGTTCAAGTTACTGCTGAGGTAGTTAAGAGAAAAAATAATTTTCAAAGCTATAATAAACGGTGTTAGTCTAAATCATACATCGATAACGATTGTTTTTATTGGCATGTGGAAACATGCAAAAATGTCGAATCCAATTTTTTGTTGTGAAGTCCTCATTCAGATTTCAATTTGAGACCAATCGTCTCTCTGTATTAAAATTGAAAAATTCAAATTATGAAAAATCAATGTAACAAACAATCCTCATTGTATTTTTCATTGATATAAAAATTGAAGTAGTGGCTTAGTGACAAATCGTTAATAAATTTCAATGTTCATTTAGGTGATATTTATTTCCTGACTTTCATGTAAACGGAAAATGTAAGCAGCAATGGCATGGACTATTTTGGTTTTCAAGCAGAGCCGATGTTAAGAAAATCACCATTAAACATAACTGATATCAAAAACATGAAGAAAGTCATTTTTTGTGAAGGAAATCAGACTCTTTATCGGCTTTGTTTGGGTATTTTCACCTTCCACAATCTAACAAATATGAAAATTGTAATGGAGAACTTTCTACACGTGTAGAAAGAGCAAACGTTTTAGCTGACCTCGGTACGTTACTGCGTGAATAAAAAGTATTTTTCAAAAAGAAAAATGTTCTGTTCATCAGCAACTTGTATTCAATAATTTCGCTTATCAAAAAAAGAGTTGAGAAATTATACAGATACTTATCATTTAGGATGCTTAAATCTGTCTCCGTCTTCAGAATGGACTTATGAAACATTCGCTATAGTACAATGTGTTCTCTAATATTAGTCTTTTCTTCAAGATGGGTAGCCGAGTAGGTTCAATCTCTAAGGATCTATTCGAAATAAACTTCTTCCCAGATATAAGAATATATATTGATTAATTGAGTTTAATCTCATAGAATGGGGTTCATTGGCAATCATTCTCGTCTTGTTCTATTCCATTTGATGTTCACCGTCTGATTTCAAAATGTGTTCAGGCAATTTTGATCCTGTCAATTATCTGTTCCTGATGTAATCTCGATGTTCATTCACACGCACTTTCAATAGTCTCGAAGTTTCACCAATATAACTATTTTATTATATTATAGCTTTTGTGATTGTGTACAGACAAAACCTATTGTCGATGTGGAGATGATTTTCATCAACAAAATTTGGCATTGCTATGGGTTTCCTTCCATCTCCCTTCTTGAGTAACATATATACAGAACATTTTGAAGAATCTTTTGTTGGAACTAACCAGAACGATCTCAAACTTTGGAGAAGAGATGTTGACGATCTCTCAACCAGATGTCTCTGGTATTTGGAATGAAAACCATGATAATCTAAATGCCTTTTTGGAACATATTAACGAACAAGGACCGACAATAAAGTTCACAATAGAGATTGAACAAGTTGGTCAACTTCCTTTTCTTGATGTAATGAAAAGGTCGTTAGATCAATCCGATGCAAATGTTCATCTTCTTCTTTATCTAGATACCTCCACTGCACATCAAACCATCATGTGAGGGTTAAAAGAGGTATAATGAATTGTTTCTATGACATAGCATAAACTTTCTGCAATTCAGCTGAAGATTTCAATAAGTTTTCGAGAAAATGTAGAAATGAGGAGAATCAGTGAAGAGAAAACGGTGAACATACTCAAATTCTTTCATTTCTGAAGACGGAGGCAGATTTCATTCTCCGAAAAGTTAATATAAATTTGTATAATTTCATAGCTCTCATTTTGAAAGGCAAAATAATTGAATACGACAACTACTGTTGAAAAAAACATTTTTCTTTGTGAAAAATCCTTTAAGCTCAACGAGATAGCCTGAAAAGTTTGTTTTTCCAATGCAATTTTCATATTTTTTGTTAAAGGTAAGGATATCCAAAGAAGGTCGATCAAAATCAACTAAATACTCTAGTAAGACATAATATACTCCATTCTTCATTTATTCAGAGGGAGTTAGAATTGGATCATATAATATTATTGGCTATATGCTTTTTCATCATTTTTATTCTCCATTCTATGCTGTTCATTGTTTTTGGATGAATCATTTCACAGAGGCTTTTATCAAAATATATTTCATTGCAGTATTTCCATTTTCCACAAAAGTTGTGTACACCCATTGTACATCTTCCTGAGGTGTTGTCCTCCTAGGTCATCGTCCATCCTGTCCTTTGGAAGGTGGACAAGTTAGGATACATTTTCTTTATATCGGCAGGTGTAGGCCAAGACTCGCCGAACACACACTCTCTTATTGACGAAAACACCAGACATTCGCATAGGTGTAACGTTTGGCTAGTTCCGCAATTGTCGAAGTCATCAGGCCGTAGATGCCACTGGGTCCTAAAATTCTTAGTCCAGCCGATTCCTTGACTAAAGAGACGGCAATTGAGTCCTTACTAATTCAGAAAAGTAAATCTGCATATGTTGCATCTTTTTCAACATAATTTGTCTCTCTTTGAGCCGATAACTTTGGGATTAATATCAAGAGCAGACCCAGCGGGGCCCTCAACATGTTACTCTACGATCTAAATCATTGTTTTAGTTTACCTAGCTACTGAGTACAAAGGAAAAGTTTGAAGATTTTTCAATATCATTGACTTCATTTTCTCCCCTCATTCCCCCATAAATTCATTATATATGAGCACTCTGGGTTCTCCTTTGACTAAATTCTTCATTCAGTTGGTTGGGAAGAATTAGAGCAGTTATAATTGTAACAAGTTTATACGCATAATGCTGTGAGCTAGATGGTAAATCACTGAAAACAGTTCTGTATTCCAAACCGTCACGAATAGTCAGCAATAAGCAAGTCAGTTTTTTCTCTCCATCTTGGTATATCTGTGTTATCCCATTTGATGAAATTTGCAGGCTGGAGAAAAAAATAATAGTCCTTCTCTGTTTTCAAAAATATCAGCTTTTAGGCTTTGTAGTTGTTGATCTTTGGGGATTGTTTTTAGAAATGTTACAGTCTCTAAACGTCAGATGACTCCAGAAAAGTTTCATGGGAGTTGCTTTAGAGGCATTTTTGAGCACAGGATCTGCAGAAGACCTTTCTGTATAAACCTCAATTGGGATGATGACTCCAATGGATTCAGAAAATGTATATCTTGGAAACCCCTTCATTTATCTTGTAACCAACATTGATCAGGATATCATATCATTCTTCTTCTATCTGAAGTTGTTTTCTGGGGTTCATAAACATTGCATCTGTGAATTTCAAGTGGTAATCCAGCGAGACAAAATTCAAACTCTCCAGATCACCTGGTTTCATCTTAGCGATCTATTGAAAACACCAATTCCTCTTTCAGCATACCTTCTGAAGGTATTCCGTATGACGATCGGAAATAAATAGATTTTAGGAATGTCCGTAACAAATTGACCGCATGAATTTTGCTCAATTTTTGAAAACCAAGAAATGATTCAGCTACTTTGTTCAAGCTTTTGATGATGGAATCAGTATATGTTTAATTGTAATTGAGTTATTAGCGAAAAAGCAACGACTACAAAGGCTCCTCAAGCCAAATTCGGCAGTGTGTCGCATTTTTATACAGATTCATTCATTACAAGTAACGGAATTCCAAAATCAAGTTAATGATTGACCATTGCTTGAATGCTTGAAATGATGACAATATTAATAAATACCTGCATAATGAATGAACCTCTATCAGCAGTTCTGAATCTTTACGATTAACCTTATATAGGAATTACATAACAACAAGTGAAAAGAGGATTTCAGGAATCCATTTTTCATGGGAGCATTCAATTATAGATACAAGTTTTTTTTTACTTGAGAACTTTCCCAGAATTCAACAAAAGCTTCTACAGAGATACGAAACATAATACTCAAATAAATTAATCTCAGTTCCTTACACCTTTTGTTCCATTTTATTATACAATAATTTGTAAAATGCCTATAAAATTTAAAAACACTCATTAAATTAATGTTATGGATATGTTTAAATATTATTAGTGTACAACATACTTTCATTAAAAATGGACAAATGTTTTGAAATGATTTTATGGAGGAAATAGATGAATAATGATTACAAATACTGATAAAATTCAAATATTTCAAGAGAAACTAGCTCACAATTCAATTATTTTTCACAAAACTATTGATGTTTATGAAAAATGTTGGAATATACATATTCACATATAATTTCAAAAATCGACCATCCAAATCATATTGATTTGGAGCTTATGGGTTTGGGATTTGTGGTTTAGGTTTACGAGTTTGGGCATTTTTAGTTGGGGTATTATAAGTTAGGTCCTTGTGAATTTGGAATATCCAAGTTTAAACTATGACTCTTGAGTTTTCCTGGATTTGAATTAGTCGGATTTACAGTCATGGGGTTCTCAGGCGGAGGGAATAACTTGAGAGTGTGTAAATTCAGAAATCGTGGGTTGATGTATTGTGATTTTGGGTTTTGAGAAGGGTGGTTTGTAGGTTTGGTGAGCATGAAAATTTTAAATTAGGGTTTTTTTGTTGAAAATGGGAATCTAGATTGTAATGAGGTCGGGTTTCGTGTGGTTGAATAAAGGGAGTTGAAGTGCGACCCCAGGTATAACAGAAACATCAGTTTTTGTACTCTTTGATTAGAAGTTTCGCACAACAGTTCCATGAGAATTTGACGTTGGATTTTTCTAATTTCTAGTGAAACATTTTGTCTTCGAGCAAGAGATATGAATAATCAAAGAAAGGAATGATGAAACAGATAAGGACACATCAAAATGGAAATTTGCAATACAAATATAATAAAATGGAATGAATGACAAATTTCACAATTCCATATGTGACGGCAGTCTCATTTAACGATAATAGATCATCATCCATTATCACAAATTTCATTAGGTAATTCTTATAAATCAATATTATATTAGTACTGGTAAATATTCATTTCAATTATCCAGAGACGAATGAATAAGTTTACAGATTCTTAAGAATTTGTTGTGATCACCATGTGCCACATAAAAGAAACATTTCGATTCATAAGTATATTTCTTCTCGTAAGTTGAAAATCATTTGCCACTCATCCTTCACGATTTTATGAATCAGATAAGGAACAGATTGAATAATACAATTGAGTGAATGTTTTTTGACTCCCACATTTTTTTTCTCATATTATGAATATTATCATAGTTTTGGTATTCATTTTCACTTGTGATATTGTCCAGTAATAATATTTGTATGGAGATATAGCAGAATATATAATATAAATGTTGTCAAAATTGGAATAGTGATAGTGTTGACGTCTTATGATATATTTTTACAATTATACCTGTATTTTGGTTTACTAAATAGGTAATATGACATATCAAAACACCAATTACTCACAATAAGCTCGAATATTCAATCCAGATGAACGTATTTCTAAATCAAATGAAACTTCAACAAAACAGAATTCGTAAACCATGTTCATAAACCTCAAGAGGTATTTCTATCAAACGGACATAACCACAACAAACCAAACAACTCTGTCGAATTCGACAAAACAAAAACTTGAGTTGTCAAAACAAGAAACTTTTTGAAAACTTCGTGTCGCAGGCGACTGTTTTTGTTAACAACGAAATAACCCATCGGCAGGCGGAAAAATCAAAAGGTTTCGGTGTTTTGTTTGTGTTTTTATAAACAGAGTTCGCTATGTGGAAATGTTCGCGACAACAACAAACAACTATTCAGTTTAGTATTTTGTTTTAATATGTGACTTCATGTGACATTATTTGAAGTGTTGATCTGGGGTGTGTATAAATTTTGATATCAGTTCTCCATTCATTCCTAAGTCATCATTTATCAAATCTGCCATAATTCGGTTTCATAATCTATTAGTCTTCATAACAATGATCCGATCGCTCAAAATATTCAATCATCAAAAACCGAAGGCCGTTATAAAAATATCGACTTGTGAAGGCATGATGAAAAATGATCGTGTAGTTGAAACGACAGAACACGCGACTCAGCCTAATTTTTATCTGTTCGGTGGAACTCAAGTTTCGAAACTAAAATAAGTTTCATGTTTTTGTTTCTGAAAACAAAACTAGTCGCAAGCGAGTCCGTTTGGTGGAAATCTTTAAACGATGTGTTTACTCTGTTGATGAATCTCAAATCGTATTTATTGAAAGCTCATCTAATATTAGTAGTTTTCCAATGTCAACTCTTAGATTAGCATACCTAATCTATTGATCTGATTATTGATTAAATTTTCTGTTTCGCTCATTTCGCTTTTTTAAACCTTTCACAACGTATTTTAACCATTCAAATATGTTATATACGTTGACAAAGTAATGAGAACATTGTTTGTAAGCCTGATCATTTGATTATACTTCGTATGATGAATGCGAACGTTTAAAAATTGGTCATTTTTCATTATGTGTGTATCTGTTGTAGTTCTGTGAAAGCGGAAAAAACATCCCCGAAAAATTGCGAATTGTAAGTGTTTTAGTATCCAATCCTTACTATATCTTCATAACAATTTTGGGTATTTCAAGTACGAAAATGTGAAAATATTATTGATTGAAATGCATGGCATATGTACACATACGTGTACATACATGTACATATGCACATACACATACGTGTACATATGCAATGAGACGAATACAATAATGTGAAGTAGTATTTTTGTCATTATACACCAACCTTTTCTTTAAAAAGCTTATAGCAATCGGGATCACAATGTGGTTTGTACTTTTTACTATAACAATCGTTCAAAACTTTCATTTACATTATTCAACTTGCGAAATCTCAAATGATTCCTTCCTCAAATTGTAATAAAATATTTACCGTACAAATTTTGACTTCAAAGACCTCGAATTAAAAAAAGACCTTTACAGAGATTATTTTAAACATATCTTCCTTGTTTACTCTTTCAATATGTGAGGTCAAAAGTCAAAGAACTCTTGTAAATACCACATATGTGTGGATTTCACTATTTCTTTAAAGATATCAATCAAAAAGATAACCTCTAAATGACATCGTTATTGCCAGAATTACAGTTATTATCACTGAAGTAGATGATTGGATCGGATTGGCTGTATTGCATAGGGATTTCGTACAAGAACAATGAAACACTTCAACATTTTTTGTTCCTGTTCTCCTGTAGCACTTCTTATCATCGTGTTCATCTCTTATGTATCCACAACCGCGAATCACTCGGACTTTTCCTTCAACTGAAAAAACAACACGTAACATTAGCGTATTCTGTTCACCACTTAAGGGGAGTTTACATTATAATAATAATAATAATAGTTCATTTCCCAAAAGACAAAACAGTGAATTGGGATAGTCAAGTCTAGAAAAAAAACATACAAGGTAGATTTAACAATATCACATCCAGAGCTTTGGAATACAAAGACTCGCCGTTAAAAATATATAAAAACATATAAAAATGATTATACATATAAAAATGTAAAATATAACAGAAACATAATTGACAATATTCTTATGAGATATCTTCTGGAAAAAATTCATCTGTTGAATAAAAACATCTTGTAACAAGTAACTTTTCGAGTGGCTTTTTTAAAGTCAATAACAAAGAACAGTTTTTCAATTCATTTGCTAATTTATTGAATGCCCGTAAGCCATTATTAGCAGGAGAGCAGAAATGTACTCTATTTTTACAAATTGGTAGGTATATGGAAGTGATTTTGAGAACGAGTATTTACTTGATGTATATCAGAATTCTTCAAAAAACTATCTCTATTCTTGAAAATATAACGATTTCAGGAACTTCAAAGACGATATGCGACCAGAACGATGAGCAGCAATAACACCGATGCCATCAACTCGCTTACAACGCCCTGGACTCCTCGTGGTGGATCCAGAAGGATACCCAGGAAAAAGCTCCCCTTTCCCCCAGCCAGACTCCTGGGAGCAATGAAAGACCCGCCGGAGCCGATCCAGGATATCCTAGAGGAATTCCCACCGGGAATCAGATAGCGGACAGCGGATAGCAGCGTCCTAGAAAGAGCCGAATTCCGAAGAGTTTCACCCCCAACAGCCCCGGCCTAAGAACCCGTACCCAAACAGCACCAAAACCACGACCTCTGCAATGGACTCGGACCACCCTACGGATCAACGGAATTAACCATATGAACAAGCGAAACACAAAACAACACAACACAGACTCCAACACACAACAAAAAACACACACATACAACATGCCCTGAAGAGGCATTAGCCTATAGCAGGGCCCCACACACCTACACAAATGAAATGTATTATTATTTAAAATTTTGAATGAACGATTTTAATTCATTCATTCTTGAAAATATAGAGACACGATTCAAAAATATACAGGGTGTACCTGATTAGGTGTTAAACATTTAAGGAGATGATTCCTCATCGAAAAAAGTTAGGATCTTTCATATGGATGA